TAATATAAATAAATAAAGTTTTGTGTAACTGTTCGGACATAGGTACTGTCCGATCCCAGTGACTGGACATGCACCTATGTCCGGACATAACCTATGTCCATTTACACATAACACTATTTATTTAAGTTAATATTAGTCTCAAATACGATTTTTAAAACGTAATATATAATTTAATTGTAATCTTTAAATGCAATTAAATTATAATACTGTAATAAAAAAAACATTTGAGATTAATAATAATAAATTTTGTGTAAGTGTGTCCGGACATAGGTACATGTCCGGACGTTTACCTTATATCGCATATTTTTGTTCTGCACATCGAATTAGATTGCAGTAATTTTTTTTAGGATATTTATAGTTACAGATTTATTTAGAAGAAATAATATATAATTTTTTTACTTCGCTTTCGTATACAAGATTTGATGTTTCTTTATTTCAATATTCTCAATTCAGCTATTTGATATCTATCTTCTTGTTTGTTCTTCTCTTTTTCTTCTACACTTCTAAAACTTTATACATGAAAGTACCATCGTTCATGATAGAATTCTATCATACAAAAAAAATCGAGCATATTTTAATGACGTGTCACTCGTGTCTTAGCGGCTCATTTTAAACACATTAAAGAATTTGACGACGAAATCGTTGCTAGAGCTTCCCCGGTAGTTATTTCGGCGCTCATCGATGCCCCGTGATTTCGTGTTTAATTGTGAAGCGTTTAACCAGCATCGGCCCGCGGCGACAGGCAATGCCGGAGCAATGCCGGGAGTCGGAGTGTGCAGTCATTAAATTATTCCGGAATATGAGCCCGATGGGTGTCCCCGATCGGTCCAACTCTAAAACGGCCCGTGTTCGACAGAAGAATCGGCCGGTACATCTGACGCGATCTATACAACTCTCTCGCACGTGTTAGACGTTGCACCAGTCTTGTTTCGCGTTCGTCTCGGCGATACCTATTTTCTTTATATTCCGAGTGACCGTATTCGAGAACTAACGAGCTTGCTCGAAACTAGTTCGAGATAAAAGGAAAGAAGGGGGATTTATTTTATTAAATATTGATTGATTTATAGAACCATGAAAACGTTGGAAAAATAAATGAGGAAGACATGTCGAATAAACGATCTTTTGTAAACGATTTCATGGTTTATGGTAATTTATAATATATATAGGATGTGTGTTATAAAAAAAATCACACACACACACAGAGTTGGATAATAATTGGTTAAAAAGTTAAATAATAAAGTTGAAAGGTTAATAACTTGTAATTCAGTTATTTTCAAATGAGTTGACTTTTAACTTCGACTTACGTATAGTTATTTTAAACATTAACTTTTTAATATTTTCTAATAAATTAAAAGTTATTTTTTCGCCTCTTTAGGTACTAATATTTTTTCTTCAATAAAATTTTCAATATAAAATAATATTAGACAATTGATTTTTGTCTGTTGCGACTGTCGTTGTGGTCATATGACTATTATTTTAAATAGAAAGAAATAAAGTTTTTTTTAGCGACTGTGAAGATTTAAAAGAAAAATTAGACGATAAAAATGTTTTAATAATTCTTCTATTAAAATTAAAAAATTTTTTATGGCATGTGTTTTAAATTATGGAAAATTATAATTTTTCGAAATAAAATTAGTTATAATAAATTATTTGAAATATAATTATCTTAAAATTAATTATAATATTAGTTATAATAAATTATTATAAATATAATTTAATTAAATAATGCTTTTTAAAATTATTTTTAATTTAAGTTAATTTTTATTTATAATTTTTAATATAATTACGTTAATTTTATAGCTATTAACTTTAAGTTAATTATTAGAGAACAATCAACCCTTATTAAAGTCCAGCCCTAATTAAAATCATCGGAATATACATTTGATAACTATTTATAACATAAAGTACATTTGATAACTATTCATTACTTTTATTAAATCAACAACAAAAAGTTTCTATAAAAGCTTATAAATTCTTGCTATTGAACTCTGATGATCTCATTAACGAAAAAATCCAAGAGAAATGCTTGTTTCATAATATAAATCGCAACACTTCATTTGCTCGAGCTTTTAATTCAAGAAAACTGGTGTTGCTTCTAGATGTCTAATCGTTAATAGCTTCGATGCAAACATTGGAGAATATCAGCATTGATTAACGGTGCACTTTCGATCGGGTGGATATCTCATTGCGGCACGTGCAGAATCTCGAAATCCCCCCCACGGGAGGTGCCCGAGCTCTTGGCTCTCGAGCTCGGAATACGACGCGAATCAGTGACTCTGAAAAACGATCCTTCAGTAGTACGTGGCACGGCGAAAGGAACGAGTGAGCGTGTCGGCAAACAAAATCGGTCGGTGGAATGCCATCGGCGGCTGCAGGCCTGCAGCGGGTAGTAGCGTCCAGGTTACTCTTCTCTTCGTGGTGCTTCGTGGCCAATGCGCACACACGTCGTCCCCGCGGGCTGAGCGAAACGCAAAAACGTCAGCAGCAAGATCCTCGAATGATTTTTCGAACGCGCAACAAGCCCGCGAGCCGTCCCGCCGCATGAAACTGTTCCGCCCCGCCGATTGTTCTATACCGGTTTGCTCCGAAACGAATCGAACGTTTCCCCGATAAATAACGTCGCATTTTCGGCAAAAAGGCTTTTGCGCATCGCGCTCGCCGCTGGCAACGATGCGGAAAAAGCGCGCGTCAGACATGTTAGATCTGTCCAATTGTTGCCTCCTCCTCTGCCGATACCTCTTTTACCGCATTGGAAATCGCACTCGTTACTAGTACACTCGATTATCGATATTTTATGGAAAACCATCGACAGCTAATTACCAATACAAGGAAGAAATTCCTCTCACCCTTCGGCAACGTTCCACTATCGTATAGAAATTATAATCGAATAATTATAATTAACGAAATATAACGCCGATACCATTCGACGCGATTTCCATAGTTTGTTCCATGCAATAACTACAAAGTATCATATTGTTATACTTTGAATAGACAAATTTTATCATTGGGAAATATTGCATATTGTCGCGTTTATTATTACAATGGTCCTCATTGCTCTATTCGATTTGCATCAAATATTAAAAAGTTTAAAAGATATCAATGCAAAGCATTTATCTACCATTGTTTCCAACGATTTTCTTTCGCTATTAATCGCAATTTATTGTATATTAGTTACCGTTTATTGTACAATATATACATTACTGTGGCTAATTACCGCAGCAGTTACCCTTTGACTCGATTAATAACAACGAATGCGCCCAACGGTACCCAGCCACGTGCTGTGCCGCGTTTCCAAATTTGTTCTACGGTAGTTTACGGGGTCGCCAACCGGTCCATCGAGCGACGAGAAGGAAAAAAAAGGAGAAGAATCGGGACGAGAATGGGAGGAAGGGAGGGTCCGCGAGAGGGAGACAGAAGAGGGCAAATCGTACCATTTGGCTCGGCTTCGACATCGGTTAACGCAGCGGGGTTACCGCGGACGCCTCGACGGACACATTGAGGGCGCCCGCTCGACTTGATAATCGCTTGCCATTCATACACTTTTCATTGGATTGCGATTGAGCATTAAGAAACCGGGAGACCCGGGGGCTAGGTCGCGTATTGCGTCGCGCCCGAGCGACGTATTAGCATTAGGAGGCATCATCTCGAGTGTAAACACTGCATGGGCACCGCGGATTTAGTCACAGTCGAGAACCACGGGACGTCCCCGATATTATCGTCCCTTTTCATGTTTTTTACCTTTGGCAGCGTCCCTCCGTTGCACCCCAGTCGATACCCACCTCGTAAACGCGACGGAGATCCATTAACCTCCTTAGGAACCGCGTCTTTTTGAAACGGTTTTAATCTAATGCAGTTTTGCAGGATTTAAATTTTAAATAAGGCAACGAGATTATTTTTACTTCTTTATTAGATCGCTAATACGTCAAATATATACAAATATCACATACATCGTCATATGATATCGTTGGGAGAGGAACATTGACATAATGTCATAATTTATAAGAGAATTATTCTGATGTTTACTTCATTATAAAGAATACTAAGGTATTTTTTCGGGGAGAAAGCTTTTTCAATAAATAAATGTTTAAAAGATGAAGGTGTAATAATAAGAAAAATATTTTATCTAGCAATTAAGTTACATTATTAAACAATATTTTTTAGTAATATTTTATAAATAGAGACATTCAGATTTATTTTAGTCATTTAAACATAAAATTCAATATAAAATAAATAAAATTATAATTTTCGTGATACACACATGTCTTACTTTACAAGAAGTAAGACACAAAATAAAATACACACATAAAAAATTGTAAGCGAGTTACATCTCGCGCATTAGCTTTTCACGAGCAATCTGCGCGTTAATACGCCCGACGGATCCCGTTCTATATACATCCCTACAGTGAGATCGACCCAAAGACATCGACGAAAGAAATATCTGAAGGGAGGATCTGCCGGAACGCTGCTGACACAAGAAAGTTTCGTCTGCGAGGGGTGAGGAGAAGAAAGCAGTTTGTCGTTGGCCTTAACCGCGAGGATTCACGGTTAAAGCCCACAAGCGGCGGACGTCGTCCATGATCCCCTTTATCCAATCCGTGAGGATCCGCGGGGCGTTAAATCCCTCACGGGAAAGCTCCGTAACTGAGCTCTCGCGTTCGCGCGCGCTAAGTCGGTCAGCTCGGTCCAGCCGAGCGAAAGGATCACAATACCGGCGCCGACCGCGGCCGAGCACATCCATCTCTGGCTCGCGAGTTCTCCTCGTGAAAATTAGTTGCGCGAGAAATCCATGCTAATGTCGGCTAATCGGCTGTAATCAGCCGTGAGAGCCGACGGCTGTCACGAGTCGACGTGCCGTGGAAGATCACGACGAGAGGGAGATCCTTTCCCTCGGGCCGCGTCAGCGATCGCGACAGATTGACGCACAATCAGGCGGATTTCTATTGAAAACGATTATATTTCTATAATTCAAAACTGCCTATTTCTACGTGGATTGACAGGTCAAGATGTAAATAAATCTTTGAAGTTATTTCCAAAGTACAACTTTGTTGATGCGCAACTCTGTTGGTGTGATTTATAAAATTAATAAGCCAAGGCAGATTTTATAACGTTTGAAAAGTAACTGTTGGTTTATTATTGATTTAAATTGCATGATATATTCAAATGATATTAAGTTTTTACTTTATCTATTAATACGGTCAGAAAATTTAAAAAAATACAAAAATTATACCACTTGTCATGTGAATAGATATAAACTAGATATAATTTGTAATAAAACCATATACATTATATATAATAAAAATACATAATTGTATTAAAAGAATATATAATATCACAAACTCGTAAATAATTATAAAGTTTCTAAAAAATATAAGATACAATAACTAGAAATTAGTTTCAAGAATGTAAATACAATTAAAACATTTATTAATATTAATAGCTGCATTGGAAATATTTAAATTGCTTTTATTGTGATGTTCTTATAATTTAGGAATAAACAAGGACAACCGAGTGAATCTACAACTCAAGAAGAAGCCTATGATCCTCACCTGAATCGTGTCACTTACAAACCAGTGTCGTACGTTTTTGCTTCGTTTGCTTTCTTTAAAAACTGTTCGTTTAATGTTTATTAGCACATTGAATGCCGAATCTAATTCGCTTGTTTTTTCGGGGTAACGTTAAAGTAAAATTTTCACTATTAAGCTATCTTTTAATAAAATATCGTATAACTGAATTATGTAAAATTATCATAGCACGTTTAATACTTTTAATTGTTACACTTTAATATTTATTTATACATTGAATTAAAAATGTTATTTTTCACGAGAGAAATTGTGATGCCAAATAATATTAAAACTTTTGAAACTCTTCTAAAAATTACTTGATCTCTTCATAGCGTTTTCTTAAAAAGTGTACAAAGTCGAGCTTTATAATTCTCTTTTAAATATATTTAAAAATAAACAGACAATTGTTTGATTGTTTAGTTCAAGTTAAAAAATTATTATAACAAAAATTATGAGGGTAAGAGAATTGACTTTTTTTAATTAAAATTCAGCAATAACTTATTTAGAAAAAAAACATCAATATGTAATCGTATGAAAAAATTTTTTTTAATTATTCAAATATATTGTCTCTTTTAATCCTTTTTTCTAAACATCTACACTATTTCAATTATTATATAACTTATTTCATTTTTTGTAGAGACTTTGGGTCTCTCGCAAATTTGATAAAAAGCGCAGCCGGAACGGGTCTCTTCGCCATGCCGAACGCGTTCGCTTGCGTCGGGCTCTTCATCGGGATTGTCGGTACGGCGTTTATGGGATTGCTGATAACCGGATCCCTTCAGTTGCTCGTTAGAATTCACCATATGATGTGCGTTCGTCTGAGAAAACCCATCTTAGTGTATGACGAGGTGGTAGTCGCCACTTTAACTACGGATGTGCGAAAACCGTGGCTCTCTCCGCGCGCTGCAACGTTCGTAATTTCAGTAATCGCGTTATTTCATGCTGGATACCTCTCTAAATTTCTTGGAGTAAAATCTCACTCCAAAAGAATTAAAATGCTATCACTATTGAAAAAAAGTGAAAAATTTGCACTCTTGAATAAAAGTGGCAGATTTTCATTCTTGTTTTCACAGAGTGAGATTTCTTTCCTTTAGAATGAATTTCGCTCCAAAAAGAGTGAAATTCTGCTATTCTTATTCAATTACTTTTTTTCAATAGTGGCAATATTTTAACTCTTTTGGAGTGAGATTTCACTCCAAGAAATTTAGAGAATAGAACGATAAATCGCGTTTTATACAATATCAATGCAATACTTGATATAAAAATGCGACAATTATAGATATATAATAATTAGGTAAGCGCGTAATAAAAATACATGGTATCTATTAATGTAGAGTAATTTTAATCTCGGTTCAACTTACTCTTTATCTTTTTCTAGTTCTTAGAACTAGAAAAAAATGAAGTTAGTTGAACCGCCATTAAAATTAAATTATATACATTGATAGAAACGGATATAAGTTTAGTAAACATTAAAAATAAAGCGGTTTGAATTTTTATTCGTTTGTAGACTCATCGTCGATATCATTATGTTAGCATGCTACATTGGAATTGGTTCGGTTTACGTCGTATTCATTTCCGGCATAATTCAAGAATGTATAGATACCGAAAAAATCATCGGTCAAAGCTACTACGCGCTCATGATATTTCCACTTCTTTTTGTAATGAACATGGCAAAGAATTTGGCGGATATCGCACCGATTTCTATTGTCGGGAACATTTTGCTCTTAGCCGCTGGGCTTATTGGAATCGTGTACTCTTTGAAAGACGGAATTGGCGACGAGTGGACCACGATTGGCCCGAACGTAGACTTATATCCAAAGTTCCTCGGTGTGGTTTTCTTCAGTATGTGTTCCCCAGGAGTGGTGAGTCTTTAATCTCTAATAAATCAAATTTTAATTTCAATTTTCTATAATAAATAATTAATTTTAATGCTGTTTAAATCGTTAATTTTAATATTTAAAATTGTTCATAGATTTTCATTAAGATTGAGAAAGATACTTTATAAATTACTAATAAATTATTTTTTAGTTTATTCGTTATAGAAATGAGTACAAAAAATAATATAAAATTGGAGCAAACGATAAAATATAATATAAAAAATAAAATACTCGAACTTATCGTACTCAATATAATTTATAATAAAAAGTAACTTATAAGTAAATTAAAGTAACTTTCCGAACTCTTTTCATTTTCGATAATTAACATGCATTTTATAATGACATTTGAAATTATGGTGTCTTCAGATATTGGCGATAGAACATAGTATGAAAAAACCTTGGAATTACGTTAAAATGTGTGGAATATTGAACTGGGGCATGGCATTTTTGGTCATAATACACATTCTCGTCGGATCTATTGGTTATTTGAAGTGGGGACCCACTGCGCTTGGCAATTTTATTCGTAATCACGAGACGCTCGACGGGTAGTATAATAAGTGTAATTCTGTTAACTGTAAAGACTATGATGCTAGTAGATACGCAACATTTACCTCATATTTTTCATCATCTAACAGATATGTTAACTTATTTGATTAGAATGTCATTTAAGAAGAGACAGGTTTACATAAATTATCAGTTTGAAGGCAAAATTTGCAATTTTATTTGAGGAAAATGAATAGACACAGTTTTCTGTTTAGATATTATTTATTACTATATGTTTAATGTGTAGAAAAAATTAATTTGTATAATACAGAATTTTATTAAAAATATAGATTTTTTTGTCAAAGACATGCTCAAAAATTTCGAATTTTGCTATGATTTTTAATTGTAAGAAAATAATCTGTTATTTTCTGGTCTAGTTTTTCATAAAATACTTTGTTACAGAATTTAAAATAAACTATTAAAAAAATATTACTACAAAATAGTAAATGATAGAAATCTTTTATATTTTTAATAAATTCAATATTATAAATTTATTTCCTACATTAAATACAATAGTATATATTATAGTAGTAAATAATAATAAACAAAAATACGGTCTGTATTTATTCTTTCCCCTAAAATTTAATTAAAAAATAAATAAATTGCAAATTTTACCTCTAATTTAATTATTGCTAAGTTTTAATTAGAAATCAGTACATTTAAATATCGAAACGTAGAAATTTACGGAAAAAGATTATACATAAATATTTTTATAGAAAGAAAAAATGTTCGTTAATGAATGTTATTGCAAAGTCCGTGATTTCTAAAATATTCTCTATATCAATACATATCTTACCATGTCATCAATTATTTAGACCGACGTTAGCGGCTCTGATAATGCAAGCGCTGGCAATATACTTCACATATGGATTGCAGTGTTACATGCCCATTAGAATTCTGAATTACGGCTACGCCATACCGGCCATTGAAGACGGCACCTGCAAAGGAACACCATTCCTCTGGGATCTGATCATTCGTTTCGGCATCACCATCATTACGTGTAAACGATAATTTCTCCTTAAACCTCTTTCACGCATTGTCCTACTCTCTCGTTAGCTTCAGGGTAAACTCGGCCAAGTTCGATGGACCGCCGTAGATTGAATCCCTCTCCCTCTTTTTATCTCGCAGCGATCAACTTCGTAGGATCGATCAATCCGTCCGATTACGATCCGCTTTGGACCCAGATATTACTAAAGTTCAGGAATCCACTTTCGCGGAATTTGATGTAGATGCTCAATTTTGTCGAAGTCTCGTTTGACCGAGATCACTCCGGAGTTACTACAATGTTACTAACTGCATTACTCGCTTTAATTTGCTCTAATTACGCTAATCGATACGTGCATCGTTGTTACTCCACGAACGGAAATTTTCCAAGATAAAGTGGGAACCTTGTATTTTGCAGGTATTCTGGCAGCGGCGATTCCGAGGCTCGATCTATTTACCGGTTTGGTCGGCGGTATATGTATATCCACATTGGCCACACTGATCCCGGTTACCTTGTACATTCTCGTACATCACGAGGATTTCGGAAAGTTTAGATGGAGACTAATTCTGGGGATCTTCATGTTTTCCATTGCTTTTATCGCGGCCGTGTGTGCCGTAACGACTAATTTAATCTTAATTGTGAAATATTTTAAATATGGGTGCGCATCATCTTTATTATACATAAATACTAGAAATTTAAATATTAAAGATGTAAGAAATTAAATATTAATACTTTATAATTGTAAGATCTTACAATTTGATTTTGGATTTGGATTTATAGTCGGAATTGAAGAAAAACTTAGATATAAGAAAATCGTATTATGATCTTATTCTTAAACAGTTTCTTTGATCAAACGAAAATCTGTTTAAAAATGATTTAAGCAAATTTGGAGGTTTCATGACTAATATAGCTTTTGTACTCGTCGAATAAAGATTTCAAACTCGTCCGGAATCTTGATTATAAATACGGTCGGAATATATTCATATTTACGTCAACACAAAGAACGACGAGATGACAAACTTTTTTATTCTTTTCAGGGATTGAAGCCGGAGCGACGGCGGTGTTATCTTAATCTAGTCTCTGTTCGTAGTCCGCAGCCCGATGAAAATACCGTCGGCGCGCCTCGTAACGTTTTCCATTTTTGTCTTCGGGTGCAGCTCTAAAGCCGCCACCGTTTACGCGCGATTCAGCCTAATCACGGCAGCTGCGGCGCGGCGGCGGCAGCGACAACGACGGCGGCTGGAAAAACCGCGAAAAAGGCGTGAAGCTCGTGAGGGACAAAAAGCGAGGAGAGTCAGAAAAAAGGAGAGAGAAAAGAGGGAACAGCGGCGAGAGAAGCGCGCGCGACGTATAATCGCGTCAGATCACCGAGGCGTCAATGGCTGCTGCTGCTGCTGCTACTGCTGCTGCTGCTGGGCTTATCACGCACACACACATGGGGCACACAATGATAGAGAGGGTGAGGGAGGAAGAGGCAGAAATATGTGGAAACTGGCAGACACGTATCGACACGACGAATATACTGCTGTGTGGGTGCACGCGAAGGCCAGGGGGACGACGTTGCGCAAACGGCGCGAGAGAGAGAGAGCGAGAGAGAGAGGGAGGGAGGGAGAGAGAGAGAGAAAAAGAGAAAGAGAGAGGGAGAAGGAGAAGGAGGACAAGAGCACTTTCTTTCTCTCTCTATCTATTGGAAAAGGAACCAAAGCAGAGGTGGCGGCGCGGCGACGGTGGCGGTGGCGACGGCGCGAAGAGAGAGCCTCAGCGGGACACGGAAGGGTGCTTTCATCACATAGAGGACACAACCCCTTTTAGTAGCCACCGCCGCTACTCTCCCCCACGTCCTAACCTACCGTGTCCCCCGTTACTCTTCGGGGGCTGTCCTCTCTTTCTCTCTCAGATTCGCTCTTACAGACTCCCTATGCCTGGCCGCTCATCCGTTTGCCAGTTCAAGGTGGCTGCGTTCATTACCGGAGGATACACCGGGTGTGGTGTGGGACTCCACCGAACCCGTCGTCGGCTTCCCTCGCCGTACTTCCCTCGCCGGTCAGCCCCCCGAGAGAAAACGTTCCGTTTAATAATTATATCGATGAGTCGCCAAGGACGTCGCAACGTTCAGGGTATATCGCGTGAAAGCGCCAATTGCGAACGCTAAATTTACCGAAAAAAATTTGAAGAGAGAAACATTCTAGAAATTATCTACTATTTTGCGATATTATCTAAAAAAATGTATATGAATTATATATATATATAGATTGTTTTATATAGTAAATTATTCATGTGCTTAATATTGTAATCATATTCAAGATACGTAGATATTATTTTATATATTTATACTTGTATAGCATATATGTAAAATAAATGTGAAATGTCATGTGAAATTTTTATTAGAGAAATTAGATTTCAAAATTTTAAACAGTAAGATACAAAAATATAAGATATTTATATTAAAACCAATAATTAATAGATAATAGAAATAATAGGTACATTAAATAATAATAAATATTTTAATTTTATCAGAATTAATAACAAGTGGTTTCAAAAATTAAAAATTTGTTTCCAATAACAATCACTTGGCATTCTACGATTAATTATAAAATGGTCAAAAAATATACTTTTAAAATATTATTCAATCATTTAGAAACAGTCAATGTATATATTTGTATGAACTGTTACACCTGTTGAAACATGCAAAAACGATCGCGTAAGCACGTGGAAATATCAGAGCAAAATTAAACACGTGCGTGTCCCTTTCATAAATAAGTAATGACCGACCAACCGAGAGATTGTTACTGAGATTTTCCTTTCTAATTGGAACGAAACGAAGTCCCCGCACGGAATGGCGGAGATTAACCGACCGCAAGAGCGCACGTGCACTTAAACAGCCGCTAATTGCTAAACCGAGAGAGGCGGGATCGCCGTTAAGCACCTCATTCCGAGTTTCCCCGTTTTGTTAACAGGGAAAGTATATTTTTTACAAAAGCAGATAATTATTAACCCCCTCATTATCAGAGAGGATGGATGTTAGAGGCATATTCTGATATTGAAAGACTAATATAAAACTTTATCTTGCTATGAAAAAAAACATACAAAAAGTGACATAGTTACACAAGAATTTTTTCATTGTAATATATTTAATAAGATCTTTCTACAAATTAATAACAGATATATAAAGAAAAATTTAATACTTCAACACATAATTTTATACAATAGATAGAAATCCCAAAATATTTTTGAGAAATTTCAATACTAACCGGTATAAAATCCACAAGTTTTCTATTTTTATCAAAGTTATTTTTTATTAACTTTCCTCTATAAATATAGTTATATTTATAGTGAAATATTGTTTTTAGGATATATTCATAGTTGCAGAGATACATATACCAGCAAAAACTTTATATTTTAAAACATGATTTTGTACAGAGAAATGTCAGTATTGAATAATATAAGTTTTTTTTTTATAGAAATTATTTATTCTTTATATTTTTAAAAAACTTTTGTTTCCCTCAACGTATTCGCGATTACATATAATAAATACATGTAAATAACAACAAAATTTGATATTTCAAGATGTGATTTTATATACAGAAATAACAGAAATAACAGTTAATATAAGAGAATCATAGATTTTTTTAAACGGTATTTATTTTTTTTCTATATTCATAAAGAAATCTTTTTAGATCGTATTCATGGTTGCTTATATCAAATACATGCCATGCAAATAGCCAAATATCTGCGTATCTTTCGAAGGCATACGCGCATCTTCACGTTCGCAGATATTCCGCAGCGACGTTGACGCGTCGGCAAGTTCACGATACTTCGCAGAAACTAACACGACGAACAGAAGGAAGCCACGTAGGAAGCGAAACGGTCGAAGGAGGCGGATGGTAAGACAGGATAAGCAGATATTAACCGAGTTTACGGTGGCAACGGGAGGGAAGGGGAGGGGAGGGGGGAGGGAAGGAGGAAAAGGACACTGCGTAGCAACCAGAAGGGTTTGCTCGCGGCTTTCCTTCCGCCGGTTTCCTCCACACTCTCGTGTTGCGAGGCTAAGATGGAGAAGAGGAACGCGCGCCTTAGCCGCCGTTACCGTTTCTCGCCGTCGGAAACAGGGAACCGGGCTTCTCTTATCTCGAGTCTGCAAGACTGCCTCCGGTAATACCGTACGCCGCTAGAAACCCTTACGAGCGACGAGAACCCCGTGAAATATCGCTAAACGGCTTGGTACCCCTTTCCCACCCACCTCTTCCACTTCGATCTTCCACGAGTGATGATCATCCACTCCCGCCTTTTCGAACACTTTACGCCGACGATCACCCATCCGCACGTGTACCGTAACCTTCTCCTATGGCAGCATGATATTCACTCTCACCGGCAAGATAATATTGCGTCAATAACAATGGACGTCACACGGCTGTCAGCTGTCAATGCTAGTACAGACTGTGTTCCAAAATTTACTGCCAGTACTGAAAATCTATAGTTTATATTACGTGCACTATAGATTTTCAGTACTGATAGTAAACTTTAGAACACAGCTATAGTTTCCTTTCGTTCAATGGTAAACATATCAGTTGTAATCAATAAATCCATAAATATCAGTGCACAGCACAGAAAATTATATTCTTTATAAAAAAAAAGATTCTACTTTCGTCCTCTTATATTTCGAGATCTAGTTTGTTAATATTTAATTTTTCCGCAATATAATTTTACGATCAAATTTAATTATTCATGATTCTGTAACGATATGTTAAATTAAATTTGCTTTGTTTCTCAACTTTTTTAAATTCTTAACTCTCGCTTTTTAGCGCTATATATAGTTGTTGATTATACCTTCACGAATCTTAAGCTTTTCGGAATTTAGATTTAGGCACTGACACGAGCATCTTCGCGTGGGACACGAAAATGGGTAACAAGAAAACGCCGAGGAAACGAACGAGCGCGCTTCATTATACGCGACGCCGACACGCTTCGTTTGTCCCCGGAAGTTGTGCTTCAGGAGGGGTGACGTCGACACGAGGGCCGAGGAGAAGGAGGGTGAGATGCGAGGAAGAGGTAGAACAGAAGGGAGAGTGAGGTGTAAATGGGAAGCCGGGGCGGAGGGGTGGCTTGAATTAATACAATCACGCGGGGGTGGCTCACCACTCGCAGTCCGTGGTAAAGAGGGTGAGAAGCAACGAGAGATAACCACCCCTTTGCTTGTCATCGAAATTATACGCTGTCAACACTCGACCTCGTTTACCATGCCGACTTTCTCTCCTCCTCCTTTACGCAATCCATCTTACTTACGCTTCGTCTTTCCCTTGCTAGATAATTATATCAAATTTTCAGTAGCTAAAAATACTTGTAGGTGTATCAAGACATCAAATCAAATTTGGAAATTAGAAGTCTAGTGCGTCAGTAACAAATATGCTTAGCAATATCAGTAAAGTTTTATTATGATAATAAATTTTTGTTTTTAATTTTTTTTAAGCTTTTAACTAGTTATCGCGACCATGTTGGAATCGTGATGTCTTAAGCAAAAAATAACACGTTGAAGTTTCTTGCATTTGTAAATAAAAAAAATTGCGATAAAACAAAATAATGATATCGTTTTAAATTACTTGTAAGCAGAAGCTATCTTATTCTCCTGATAGTCAGTATAAAATGGTTATAAAAGCATGTGTGAAGTGAAAAAGCAAAACCTCTAATTCACGTGCCTTTTATGATTATTTACTGACGGCCATGAAAAGTAAAGATAGCTTCTGAACATTTTTATAAGTTTTTTTGCTTTACAACGATCTCATCACTTTGTTTTATTCAAATTTTCTTTACAAATGCAGATATGCAAGAAACTTCAACGTGTCATTTCTCGCTTATGGCGTCACGATTCCAATATGACCACGGCGACTAGTCAGAAGTTTTAAAACTCCGTTTTTGTGGGTTTTAATTATCTATAGGACAAATTTTTTAATTATAAAAAATTAGATTAATTCTTATTCAATTAATTTATTTAAGTTAAAATCAAATAAACGGCTCACACAATTAATAAAAAATTCTATTATAACAATCATGAGCTACGAGCCAATATGATATATTTGTTACAAAGTTCAAAAAATATAATATAACGCATGTTTATGTTTGC